CTATCACTGGTGTCTCAAGTCTGCATGCCTCTCTGCCTTGAACTGTTTTCAGCTTCTCTCCAACTTATAGGTCAAAGCGTTCCTGATGTCACAAACGCATTGACTGCAGTTATTACTCATGGCATTTGCACGCATAGCAAGAAACATGCTAACCAATTTTGCATAAAGTAAAATAAATACAAACAAAGCTACATCTGCACTTATCTCTCCCACCATTGTTGTCTTGGCATGCAGACTACCAGTGCAAATTTTACATCAGAGTTGACGCAGAGCGATGTCGCGTCATGCCTCTGGTGCAGAATGTTGGCCTGCTTTCCGAATTCACAGGCTGGCTCGTGATTAGCTTGATTTGTATGAACAGCACAAGGGTGGGATATTGGTGACTCTTTGGAATGGCAGTAGTGTGGGATCTCAGTGTAAAACTGACAAACTGAGCAGAGGCTCTGTATGGGGACTGCTGGAAATACTGTAAATATAGAAAATTACCAGTTTTATCCTTTAAGAGGCTAGCACAAGAAAATGTTTTTCCACTCTGGTTTACTTAAAATACTTTAACAGAAGTTAAAGTCTTAAGTTGCCAAAAACATATCAAGGTGGTTGAGTTTTTTTATTGGGTGTTCCTGGCCAAAGGTTAAATAAAATGGAATGATTTAAAGTCATTAGGTACAGCAGAGAATGAGGTACACATTCCTATCTTTCCTTGCATTAAACATGGATGGAAGAATCAATAGCTTGTTGTTGAGCTACATCTTAATCTCACCATAAATGTGTGACAATAGTTGAAACAGGGCAAATCTGCAAAATGTTGTCTCTGTATTTCTGCTCTCATGGAGGAGGAAGTTCCTCAGGTTCACTTGTCTCAGTGACTCGATGCTTATTGGATTGCCTGCTCATTCCCACAGCTCCAGCAGGTCAAATGACTGGGATGTTGTAGCTCACGGGCACTAAGTGGTCTATCGATCAGTCAGCTGAGCCTGTGGGCTGATGGGATGTGCCGCAGCAGAGTCAGGGCTTGGCAGGCTGGTAATGGGTACCAAATACAATGCATTCCTCCACAGATGAGAAGCGCTGCCCTGGCTAACAGAGAGCAGTGTCCGACTTTGAGTCAAACTGAGATCATGATAGTAATTTGATGATAAATCTTCTTCAAATACAGTTTAAAAGGACGCTTTTCAGAATATTGATCTTTATTTTTCTTCATCATAGCACTTATGCTTTACCAGTTTAAGTAAAGTGTTAAAAGGATCACATGAACAGCTTGAGGCACAGTTCCTCAATGCAGAAAAGTCAAATCTATTTTTATTTGTATAGCCCAATATCACAAATTTGCCTCAAAGGGCTTTACAGTCTGTATAGCATACAACATCCTCTGTCCTTAGACCCTCAAATCAGATAAGGAAAAAATCCCCAGAAAAGTCAGACCACATTTGCTGTTCCTTCTGAAAACTCGGCACTGCTTTGTGAGTGTTATTTTACTCACAGACTGATGAGAGTTAAGATTCAACAGACATCAGTGTCAAGCCACAGATCAGGAAGCTACACACACATTTATTTGAGATATGCAAACATAAACCAAGACACCACATGTGCATCGGCTTTGTGTGCCAGTCAGTCTGTTCCACTGACCTAGTGACCAAGATTAAGGCCTTGCAAAGCCAGATTTAGGCAAAGCCCAACCAAATCCCAGCTTTTAAGAGCCTGTGAGGACAACACACTGCCAGGCAGGTTTTACAGTACTGAGCTTTCCACATAATGATTTTCAGATGTAGTTTCTGCTGATAGAAAATGTTACTGTATGTACGATACAACAACGTAGCGATTCTTACTGCTGTGTTGTATATTATCCCAATATTAACTCTGGTTTTGCCTCATTCTTTGCTGCACTCTTTCTGTTATACAGAACACAGCCTCTTGGGCCTAACAGGTCTGCTCCCATCCTGGGCTGTACCTGCACAGGGAGCCTCCCTAGTGGTGCAGATTTTAACACCACAAAAAAATAAGCACAAGGCCTGAATAAAGCAGAGCGGGTGGGGGGTTGGTAAGGCAGGGAGAAAATACTTCTAGACAATAAATTTCTTTATTTATTTCTTACTTATTTATCCAAATGCGTGCTAAATCTTAGTTAATGCAGGTTTAAGATGTCATTAAATCTCATGTGAATTCAGTGCTACTCTTTGTACTCTACACAGAAGATAAAAAAAACTCAGAAAGGCACAAAATGTTTAATTATCATTTATATTTTATACTAATAGGACTATATTGTTATAAACTGCTCAAAAAATTAAGGGAACACTTGATCATCACAGTATAACACCAAGCTAGCTAAAATTCGGGGACATCATTCTGTCCATTTGGGAATCACAAATGATTGTGAATCAGCTGCTTTGGTGCAAATGAAAGTGACAACAGGTGCAATGGAGAGGCAGAAGCAAGACAACTTACAAAAAAGGAGTGGTTTTGCATGTGGTGGCCACAGACAAATGCTCTCTCCTTATCCTTCCTGACTGATTCTTCTCAAGTTTTGCATTGTGCTAGTGTCTTTGTCACTACTGGTAGCATGAGGCAGTACCTGCAGTCCGGTCAGTTTGCACAGGTTGTCCAGTTACTCCAAGATGGCACATCCATATGTGCAGTCATACGAAAGTTTGCTGTGTCTCCCAGCACACTCTTAAGAGCATGGAGGAGATACCAGGAGACTAGCTGTTACACCAGGACAGCTGGACAAGGCTGTAGAAAGGCAACAACCCAGCAGCAGGACCAGTATCTGCTCCTTTGTGCAAGGAGGAACAGGAGGAGCACTGCCAGTTTCCTACATAATGACCTCGAGCAGTAGTGTGCATGCTTCTGACCAAACTATCAGAAACAGACTCCATGATGGTGGCATGAGGGCCCCAAGTCCTTTAGTATGACCTGTGTTCACAGCCCAGTACCGTACAGCTCGATTGGAATGCGCCAGAGAACACTAGAATTGGCAGCTTCACCACTGGTGCCCCGTTCTCTTCACAGATGAAAGCAGGTTAATACTGAGTATGTGTGACAGGCATGAAGAGTCTGGAGACGCCGTGGTGGACCTTATACTGCCTGTAACATTATCGATCATGACCTGTTTGGTGGTAGGTCAGTGATGGTCTGGGGAGGCATATCCTTAGAAGGCTGCACAGACCTCCATGTCACAACCAACAGCACCCTGACTGCTGTGAGGTACCGGGATGAAACTCTCAGCCTTTGTCAGACCTTATAGGTGCGATGAGGTGGTTCAGGGATCTTATCAGTATGCCTTTGGAGGTCTTCCGGGCACTTCCAACTGGTAGGAGACCCCGGGGCAGACCCAGGACACGCTAGAGAGATTATATAGCTCATCTGGCCTGGGAACACCTCAGAATCCCACCAGAGGCACTGGAACACGTCACTATAGAGTGAGGGATGTCTGGACTACCTTGCTAAACCTCCCACTGCCGTGATGCAACCCCAGATAAGTGGCTGATAATGGATGGATGGCTGTAGTGACTGCGTTTTATGTAATTGCAATATATTGATATAGATATAAATAAATAAAAAATTCCCCACCCGCCCCCCATTTTGGGGCAGTCTTGTATTCCCTCCTCGGGTCCTCTACCAGAGGCCTGGGAGCTTGAGGGTCCTACACAGTATCTTAGCTGTTCCTAGGACTGCA